TAAAAACTATAGCATATATTTATTACATAAAAACTGTGTACAAATAAGGGTGTTTTCACATATTGGTGTCAGGCTCAACAGTTACCCAGTTTAGGTGTTGCAATTTATGTGAAATCAAATTGAATACATAATTAAATTATACGGCTACACTATTTTATTATTATTTATATATTTTATTTTTATTTTATTATTTCATTTTATTATTTAATAAGTTACGGCGCTGCTGCGGCACTGGCGACCGATCGATCTCTTGTGCAATCCAACTCGACTATTAATTAATATCTGCAGCATGAGAGCGTTGCATTGCTCACAACAAATAATGCAGTCGACGCTTCTCATTAGCACCATTAAGGTACATTTATAATTGCCTCCATTATTCTGGGAACACATATTTGACAATGACAATTACATATTTATAGCATTTATGTACTATTTTCGTAACATTATTACTTATTGTTTCAAGCCACTGCACACATTCACATTCTACCCACCGATGTCAACGTCACTAAACACTGGACACCTTCCGTTGATGGAGCGGTGTGCAGGAGTGACGTCACACGCGAGACCGTTTTTGTCAAACAATGTGACGGTCAGTAAACAGCGCTATTTTCGTGCAACGGATGAATGTAACGTCGAGGAGAAGCCGACACTAAATTGTTTTTTAACGATATCGTAACCGGAGCCTTCAGGCTTAACCCCAACACTTGAAAGAAGTTATTTCTTTGAATATCTCGCTTGTGGTATATTAACAGACCGTTAGATTACAATAATATTGAAAGGCTGGGGTGTGGGGCCGCGGCCGCCCTCGCTCCTTTCAAATTGGATTTAAACATTGTGAATTACCTTTCTTTGATTCGCGGGTTAGCCAAATGGGGACGATTTATGGAGTAGCGGGGTCCGGTCCCGAGGGAGGCTCGGCAGCGGTACGGGTCGGCGCAGAGCCGGCGCGGTAATTCACGCGCGCGATTTACTGCGCGGCCCGTGAGCGATGCTGACCCCCGCTTTAAATAGAAGCCCGAGTCGTTTATTCTGCGTGCCGTGCCTGCCCGCCGAGGGCCGGTACGGCGCGTTAATGCGATCCTATCTTTTAAATCTCCCGGAGAGGAAAACGGCCAGTTTTGTGCCGGCGAACAAAAACCCACGAATTTGTGCGGACCGTTGTCGATATCGATTGTGCGTAATGCTACCTAGCCGGTCGCTACTTTCGAAACAATTTGAGGCTACAGCAGTTCAGACAAACGGTTCATTCGATTACCTTTACAGTTAGACCTCAAATAGGTGATGTCGTGCCGATGTCTTTTGCTTATGTTACGTCGTTCACGCACGTGTGTTCACGGGGTACGGGCCCGCGCACGGTTGCACCCCCACCATGCGCATCCCTCACACATACTCTATGTTGAAAACATTATTTTGTTCTGCTAATATTTGATACAAATAACACGCACAGGGGAGTTATTATGTTGTCTGCGAAGTGAGTGAAGCTTCACTTCAATTTACTCATTATATTAGTGAAATTATTAAAAATACTTTAGTCCTGCCAAATGTCGTTACCTATCCTGAAAGTAGGACTAAATTTGTTTTCGTCGACGTTTCGACGTCGTTCGACGTTACAAATTTATAACTTGTATGCCCAATCACTTTAAGTAATATAAATGTCATTAAATTTATGGATCTAAAGTAAATATTTTTTTATGTTGATTAACCATCATATAATATCTTGCTCTGGACACTGCAAAACAAAGATGGACGTAGACAAAGTGGTGTCGGTCGAATTTTAATTTACGATGAATCCAATACTTACGATTACCCAAAAGGTGATCGTTCTACCTCTCCGCAATCGCCCACCACTTACATTGACTTATATTTTATTTTCTTATCGTTAAATACTTATCGTTTACGTCAAAATCTTATCATCATGACTAAACATACAAGGAAATAGAAAAATACATTATTTACAGAATTTATGGAGAGAGAATGCGCTTTGGCAACAGACGGGACGATCCGAATCCCTTAGAGACGGCAAAGGGTTCTCAGTTCTCATCCATCGTTTACAATACTGGTTATTTCCGGGCTTCCTTAGCAAATTGAACACTGCCTAAAGTTACTTTGAATATGTCAGCCTTACTGGTCCTGACCTATCGATTGGCATAGTTATAGGCTTTACGGTGGGTTGGTGCCACGAGAGTCAGTAGTTTAATAGCACATGCTAACACAGTCATGAGCGAGGAACAACAATGTACTCACCACTTGTACTCGTACTTTATTTATGTATAGTATATCACTCGTTAACAAACCTAATAACGTTATTATTAGTCCTCTTTTTATTATCCATTCACAATTTGTTACAATAAAGTTTATTTGTCATCATCATCATCATCATCAACAGCCTTTAATAGTCCACTGCTGGACATAGGCCTCTCCTTAGAAAGGAGGTTTATTTAGTTTATTTGTGTAGTAATGAAAACAACATAATCATTAGGTACCATTATCCTCGCGAAAGTGTATGAATAACGCGAATCGGAAACCAGTAGATTGAGTAACGCGGGTTTTCCAGGCTGCCAGGCGTTACTATGTTGCAGTATTACTACATAGCAACTTACTCGAGTCCACTTACTCAACTGTAATCTTCTGATTTCTGATATAAGAACTTTATTGTTGTGCAAATAATATTAGAATTTTAATATTGTTATCTGAATGTTAATGTCGACACAGTAGGTAGGTAGAGTTTGTCACTGGAATCATATCCGATGCGCTCGCGCACCGATGACTATCGCTGCCGTCGCCGCGCGCTGCGCACCGCCGCTGGCGCACACGCAACGCAATTACCACCTACCTAATTATGTCTGAAAGATTAGCCCACTGAGCACCGAGCACTAGGCACACACAGCTCACGCTATTTATGAATTCACATGAACCATGCTCCACCTCCCCATGGTTTGTCTGATTCGACACTTGAATCAATAGCCCTCTTGCACGTGAGCACGGTGAACAGCGCCATTATAATATTATACAATTAATTTTATTACGGTACTTAATAACACCAACAATCAATTAAATTTTTGTTTTTCTCCCAACCAAATTTCGTAGTTTAGCTTTTTAAGTTTATGTAAAAAAATAGGTGTCTGACTTTGCAAAAAAGCATTTCACAAATAAAAACGCGGGTCTGACGTCTAGCACATAACACAACTCAACAATGTTATTGTTTCAACAGCACCGGCTGCAGATACGTAGATCCGTTGTGGTGAGAGTACATGGTGTACACAATTCATAAGGCAACACTGTGTATAAACAGTAACAATATTGCTTTCCGACATACCCCAGGGGCTTTATACTATAAATTAGTTGTATTTTGCACCTTAACAGACATACCTAGTCTAAAACTACTGATTTAATATCGATAATAATTATTAAGTTAAGTTCACTACATATTATTTCACATTATAATAACTGACCTGACAATTATAATTAGTCTGGACTACTATTGTTGTCACTGTGAAATAAACATTACACATACAACATAAACATAACTATACAAAACAAAGAGTTGTAATAACAAGACGATGTCAGTAAACAGTGGTGGTCTGCTAATAGATGAGCGGTCGTCGGTGGCTCGTAGCTCCGCACCAAAGGATTACGAGTACCCGCGAGTGGCCACTGTCCGGGACACACGCCACACACCGGCTGTACTCCTACTATAAACTAATTTAATGATGTTCATAGCGTTCCAGCCAGAAATCCCTGTTTGGTCCCTGTATGGTCAACGTTACATCAGCTATCCCATTAGATTGTCTAGATACACGAGTATACAAAATGTGTGTACGATCTATAACCAAGTCGATTCGTTAAGCTATTAAAAATACGTTTTCTTTTATTTGAATGATTTATTCTAAAAGACGATTTGTGATCAAAGTAAGTTAATTATAAAACACTTGAGGTGTGTATAAGGTGCACCCTTCCTATAACAAAGGGCCCAGTTTATGTTTCAAATAAGTAAGCGCACTTCAGGTACCTCCGCGAGGGTGAAATAAGGATCTTTTTTTTTGAACACGGAACTTCTGGACTATCTGTTAGTTATCTGAGTTATATCCATAGCTACGACGTTGTCGGCTTTTAAAAAGTTCGCGCCGGACAGGGCGGCGTCCCCAGACTGTCCCTCGCACTCCTGTACTTGTATCTATGCACTTTATCATCGATTTTCTCTTGTGTGCCTTTACACACTATTTTTTTTACTTACCAAAAGGAGAATTTTCGTATCGCTTGCATAATAAATCAAACCAAAAACTTTTTGAGCATAAAATAAAAATATAGTTTCTAGAATAAGAACCAATCCAGTATGTAAATCTAGGTCTTCCCGGGTTAGTTGGATGGTTTAGACTATTAAGATTCTCACCCACGCAACAAAAATGATCAAAATTGTTGCACAAAGACACGTACAAAGAAATTAGGAAGAAATAGAAACTAACGCTGATAGATGTTATCATCAAAATTTTCAAGGAAATTAGAAGAGAGTTGTGATCATCATTCAATTACATAGGCCGGCCGTTTAGGTGTGTGATTTGATGAGTGTGCAATATGTAGCGTTTATTGCGAGTTTACAGTGACTTTCTCTAATTAGTTCGCGCGTGTATGTGAGAATTGATTTTGTATATGTATAAAGACAGACGTGTTCAGTTTTGCATACATTTTGTAAAATGGCCATATTCACTAATGAAATAAGATAGTTTATCGCACAGCTGCTCAGTATATATACCTGAGATAAATTAGAACCCAATTATAACTAATTTGCTAACTTGGCGTTACTCCTTGTTCATATTCCTAATTTCGTCAGCAGATATTAATCATTTCTCAATCGAACGCGTGTAAGGCTCTGTGTTCACGTATAAAAGCAGTTTCGGGGTCAGCAGCCGATTATTTCTGTAATAGTCGACCGGTAGTCGCAGTGTTGACCCTACAATTTAGAATTGGTATTAGGAGAATAATTTGGCGGTCGATTGGGGCTATTATCTGTGGGTATTAGGTACGTGTGCCTTCAGCGCGCTACCGCGAGGTGTCGCCCACGCGCTCCTACTAGGTACAATGAGCATTATGTCGATCATTTCGCAACGGTCAGTGCTCAGTGAATAATACTCGCTCACAATAGGGCAGCTGCACACCGCGCGCATTGTCCCACTGCTGACCACGGGGACCGTTGGTGTAGGTGTAAGCGCGAAGATAGATATAACGTGGCACTCGCTGCGGCGACGGTGCAATACCGGTCCAACCGACTCAAGTAGGGGCTGGTATCCATACTGGCTCATAAATATTACATCGTACAAAGATCCCTTACACCGACCGACCTTATTGACTGTGGGACAGTTGTTAAAAAATATATTTGTGTATTTTGAAGTTAAACAAATCTTTCTTTCAAGCATTTATGCTCATGGTTACTTATTGTATTGCAGTGTCTGGGCGCGGTGACGTCAGCAGCTTCTTCAACACACAGATGGTGCTCGACCTGAACGGTATGTACCAACTTTCATCATTACCGCTCATATGGAACCCACGCCTTATTATATTACTTCTACAGTTCTAGAATACAACTACTACAAAATTAGTTTAACTCTTGTCAGAACCTCTTAAACGAAGTGCTTGATTTACGTCTTCCTGTGGAAGACGTTGGTAACTGAAAGCGCTAATGGTGGCGCGGCGGCGGCTCGCACAGGCGTGACGGTGCGAGACAAAAGGAAGACATAATTAAATTATTATAGATTCACAGCTGAGGAGGTTTTTGTGAGGCGCATGGCCACCGCGCGGTGACACCGGAACATTTCTAATTTTCAAGTGGAATCGTTTTTTATCCGCGTTAATTACGAGATGAATGGTAGCCGGCGCGGCGCGGGGCGTGCTTCACGGCACTCACCGCGCGGTATTGTCGCCCTGCCCCCCCCCCCCCCCCCCCGTGTCCCGGCATCGCATTCAAATCCATCGGCACAAAAAAGGCGATAACATCGAGATTTTCCATCTGTCACACTCCGCGCTCGTAAAAGTTCAGTTTTTGTGAGTCGCCTGGACCGTCGTAGCCACCGACGGCGGTCAGCGCTACTCGATTCTGTATATGAAGGCGCACACACTATCAAACACTAACGAACGTCGGCTGCAGAATACATTACATTCTGCATTTGACGTTGTTGTTAGTTATAGTAGTTCAACTATTTACAGACTCAATACATGACAAATATTATGACAACACCGATCCGCTGATCCCAATGAAAGAAATTTAAACATACTTAATACTCGGACGAAACAGTAAGGCCAACGTTAAATACTATTTTATAAACGTGAGTCCTATGACATTATGTTTCATTGATCCTCTCGCGCGGCCGTCCGCGCCGGTAACAACGCCGGTCGCAGAGACGCGTGAGTCAGCAGCTTCCACGCCGACTCCAGCCCGTGGCGCGTCCTACCGGTACATGTTACCGAATTATTTTCAAATTATATACGAGTTTGTGCCTCTAAATTAGCTGCCGCTACCGAGTTACGTGAACTCTGGGTGTGTGTGTGCTTTTGGTACACATTTATATGACAACATGCTTGACTTGATAGAATTCTATCCTATCTCCGTAGGCAATGTACAGTTTTAATGCAATAATTTGGATTAACGTTTCGAGAACAACAAATATTATAGATACAAAAAAACTACTATATAGGTATGTATCGCTGAACGTTAAAGTCGAGGGACTTCGAAGTCACAGTGCGTTTCCGTTGTTGTCGAGTGACGCCACCGACGTGTCCCCCGGCGCGGCGGCGATTGGAAACGTCTGGACATCGTCAATCATCTCACGCATTGAGTGACTCTCGCATAGTGATCTAAGTTTTTTCATGTGTCGCTTAAAACCTGAGCACGTCAAACGGCAGCTCTATATGTTACGATATTACTCGATTGAACTTACAAATTACTACAGGGTTTATGAGAAATAGTGCAGTCAGTGTCATGAGAAGTATCGCCAGAAGGCAACATTATATATGCAGTGAGAAGGTGTAAACAAAAACTTAAAAAGAGTCGTTGTTTTTGATTTCATCATATCTGATACAGTGTGAAGAGGGCTGCGTGTTTGGACACTTCTGAGTACACGAGCATTGCTTAAGTCAATGCGGTATTCAGATCACGAACGGACAACAACAAACACGTCGATCAAAACTTTTTAACATTCTGATAACTTTCGCACGTCTATGTGTCTGTAAAAATGGCTGGTTCATATAAATTAAATGTAAAATACGGTATTCGCGGTGGATTCCTTCGCGCAGTATTGGCGCAGCGGACGTAGCCTGACCGACATAGCTTCGTATAATTTCCTATGTAAATGTAATCACTCGAAAGTGGACACCGTCTCCATATCGCGTTCCGTGCTGAGCACTGACAGCGGCGAACAGGCGCTGTGTGCGCTGGGAATTAAGGGGAATAAATTCATAACAATCAAATGAGCTCTTTCGGCAAAATTTAATATATCGCGTTTAACTCACTACAATGTAGAGTCTGTAGACTACAAATTGCTGCTTTTAATATTTCCCTTAAAATGTATACTGCGAGTCATGGAGATAATGTTCAATATCTAAGAACCCACGGCACGGTTATTGCACTTCATTTATAATGTCAATTAAGAAACAATTTTCAACAACCCTTGACGTGGCGGTTAGTGCAACCTACTACTGTGCCACTGTTAACATTTTTTTTATCTCGGAAATTTGAGAAGTACGCAATTAGTTTCTTGCCCATTCTTCTCCGTGACAGTCGTACAAAGAGCAACATTCATTTACACCGATAAGTAGTAGATTGGTAGCTAGCGTTATACACCAAAGAATGTTCGTACTGAAGATGTGTCGAATTTACAAAAATACTTCTTTTCGATTATTTCCCTGGCTGTCTGTGTGTGTGTGTGTGTGTGTTCCTTGTGTATGTGCCTACACTATGTACACGTCCTTGCTGACTACTAGTACAGTTATCAAATCTAAAACAGAGCCAAGTCCAGAAGCATTATCTAACGAAATTAGAATACGTGTAATTATCTCACGTACATTTTAAGTATCATCTACACATGAAAATTAATTAATTTTGCATATTATACGTAGCTACTACACATAACATCATTATTTTAATGATGAGTGTGACGCGACCAGGCACGCAGACCAATTATATTTGGACACGGGATTACCTACGGTTTATGAAGTTTGGCGTTTAATTTGTTTTAATTAGTTTTCCCCCTGCGTCACATATTAAATAATAATATAATGAGCTAGTTTGCATATACAACAGATTGTTATCTGTGAGCGGAGAGGGCTGTGCACTGTGCGTTGCTCACCACACAATCTTCGTTCGAAGTCACTCCTTCGTAAACGTTTCACGTGTCCAGTCCAGTGCTATGTAATACATAAAAGAGCAACTGTTGCCTCTAACATCATCATATCAAAATGTTTATTTTACGTTTCTAATGTTAAGTATCTTTATAAGTCACTACGCTAATCTAAACTAGATATTTAGAAGATCAACAGCTCCGAGCTAATAAGGGGCTCGGAGTTATCTGTACTCGTAACAGTGGTTGTCCCAAACAAGTGCGACGGCGCAGTGAATTGCCTCAATGAATTCAATTGAAGGCCGGGTTAATGCGCTGCTTAATTACTTCTCATTACTTATAGTAATTAGCATATTACGTCGCTTCGATGCGTCTCTATGGACGCTCCCCCCCTCGCCCTCTCCTCACCACACAGCTGACTTATGGGCTGTCCAGCGTCTCCGATTACTATATCTGTGTGATTACAATCTGATCTGATCACCAAACATTCTAGGTTACCTGTTCGGTCTCATTCTCTTAAATACTATATTTCTGATGATGTAAGCAATCCCCTTTTGCGCCTTACTATGAGAGTACTGTGCAATAAAGTGCTTACATAATCTCTTAAACAGACGTTCAAGAGAACAGTAAAAAAGTTTCTCAAGCGTTTAAAATTTACACCTTCCTTTTAGAAGACAGGCATCATCTGCCATTGGGTATCCACTCTATATGAAAAAATAGTAAGATTACATTTGAATGTTCTTTCCACTAAAAATAATTATTGTTTTGCGTTAATTATCTACTGTAAAGTAGTAAACATGTCGATATTGAATAAAGCTGTCTACTACTAATAAGTATAAAAACACATATCATCATCATCATCAACAGCCTTGAATAATCCACTGCTGGATATAGGCCTCTCCTTAGAAAGGAGGTTTATACCATATACCAATGTAAAATTGATAAGAAGCAAAATATGTTTTTTTTTACATCGGAACTAATAGAAAACTCTTTCTTGGTTTAATTCAATCATTAAAACTAAATGTATTTTCCCTTTACAAGGACTATTTTAGTAAAAACTCCATTTGCATAGTCGTATATGAGTTATGTTGTCAATAAAGTGGACAAATGGTCAAACAACAATATAAGTTAACAGTGATCTCTTTCATTTGACCCAAGAATAAAGTGTACAAAGAGTTACCCAGATAATAAATTTCTCGCCAGAAATCTATGGTGTGGAACTTATGTTTAAGAATTTATTGGTGTAGTACTTCCTCATGCAGCGGTGGCAGGATTGAACATGTAAAATATAAACCATAAACGTTCTTATTTTAATATTAAACGCAATACATTAGCTTGTATGCATTATAAGTTGTTGTTGTAACATCGTGTTACTTAAACAACTTATCTCGAGCGTTAATATAAAGCAAACGCTTGTACTCATCAACATATTCTATTATTTCGTGGCTCTCATTCAAATCTCACTAATTATAATTACGCTGTTACGAATTAGCATTGTGTCCGTTACTCATTTAAATTGTTAAAATATTCTCAGAATATACTTTGTTCATTAAGTCTGTTATTTGGAGATTCTCAATAGAGGACTCAACCTTACTAACCTTGTCGGTCGCTATCTGTCCCTGCCTTGTATTGATTTACAATCGCTGGCTTATGCGCACGCTACACACCAAACCGTTGGATTTAAGACGTATTTGTTCCATCGAAGGTACCTCGGATAACGAAATAAGTGGCATGTTTAAATTGCCATCAGGCAAAGAAATACTTCATACAGAATAGGTCTGAATTATTGATACACGTCCAACGTTACGTATTGGCATCAGAGCACTGGGTAGGATTCGAAAGAAACTCTTTGACTCCGGCTTAAGCACATATATTACTTATATAGAGTCGTACGGAACAGAAGTACTGTTGCAAGGTACACATAAGTACATACATATGTTTACATATGTTTTATTCTAACGACACCAGTG